TGACAATAATATCACTTATCGCAATTATTTCTGGGGCAATATATCGCACAACAAAAATTTGTTATCGTGACAGGCCAATGTGCAGCACAGCAGAAATAGATTCCGTGCGGAAATGATCGCAGCATGACTGCTGCAGACGCGCACCGCTCCTGGAGCGCACTGCCGGAGCGCAATCGCGTGCAGTGTGAACGCTCTGATCCGTTAACATGGGCGCGGACAAAATACGCACCACAGACGGAGTGTGTGAACCTGGCGTTAAGTTTGTATGCCCGCCCGCCCGGTCTGTTCTGTTCTCGTGCTCCATTTAGGCGCGCTGCATTCTGATTGGTTCGGATAGCATACTGCGGGGAGGTCGGGGGCGCGCAAGTTCAAATCGCGATTTTATGACGTTTTCGATTATTTTGTCTCGTCGCTCCGGGACATGGCATCACGTTCCGCGATTTCTAAATCGCTTTATGGCACGATTTTCCGCGCCCCCGACCTCCCGCAGTATGTTATCCGAACCAGCCCTATATGGAACATAACTAAAATATAATATAATGAAAAACATCCTTGACAACACACATAAATAGACAATTTGTGGTTCATTTCTGACTAAAATATGAAGCCAGTGTAATCTTACCGAACCAAAACAATTGTAAATATTCAGCTGTACATATTTCCACAGGGGAAGTAAAACCTGCTGTTTTATTACATGCTGAACTTCCCATTAAAAGCCCTTCATCAATAATTTCAATTATTCAACAATTTGAAAGAATGAACTAAAATATATCATCCAAACCACTGTGACAGTCTTTTCCTAAATGTTACTCAAGACCATGAGTAAATATCCAAACAGAGATCAAGCCCAGATATCAATACATTAACAAGCCTAAAAACACAGTATTCCTTCACCAGGCATGACGTTATGTTATGTTGTTATGTATTGTTATGTTGGAGAGCTGAAACACTTATTATTAATACATACAAATTAATCCTTTATAGAGGCAGATGACATTATCTTTTAAAGGGGTCATATGATGTTGCTAAAAAGAACATTATTTTGTGTATTTGGTGTAATGAAATGTTTATGCGGTTTAAGGTTCAAAAAACACATTATTTCCCACATACTGTACATTGTTTCTCCTCTATGCCCCGCCTTTCTGAAACGCGTCGATTTTTACAAAGCTCATCGGTCTGAAAAGCGAGGTGTGCTGTGATTGGCCAGCTATCCAGTGCGTTGTGATTGGCCGAATACCTGAAGCATGTGACGGAAATGTTACGCCCCTACCATACAGTGATGCCATGTCCCGGAGCGACGAGACAAAAACATTAAAACCCATTATAAACGAGGCATTTGTTGCATCCAGTGGGGACATAATTACGGGTTATAATGACTTATACTGTCTTTTTTACGCATTGCGCCGCGCGCGCCGCGTAAACATAAAACCATGGCTGCATTTGTGATCGGAGAAATGACAAAAAAAGTCTAACTCTACACTGCCCAAAAACTTGCGTTTGAATTGTCAGTGGCAAATTCTTTAAATATAAAAAACGTACTTACAATCTGTGAGTCAGAACAGCCGGCATTGTAGTCTACTCTACCAGGATCAGGAAACAGTCCTCCATAAAATGTGCTGCACACATCTGAATATTTGGGTTGAACTGTTCTGGAACAGTGTTATAAATACAGCTTAACCACTGATTTCTAGTCGTGTCCTCTTTTGGAAGGCCAAACAAAGTAGTTTCGCTTTCACCACGAAACACACAGCGTCTGCACAACATGGCGGCGGTGGCAACAATACTACAGCGAGAATAAAAGTTATGCCTTCTTTCTTTGCGTGAACATTTGGGCGGCGTTATGCAAATCTTCCCACATCGTGACGTAGACATGTGGGGGCGTGTTAGAACGAGCCGTTTTAGGTAGGCGTGGTTGACTTAACTTTTATAAAGAATATCTCTTTGGATTTGAGACTTTAGTCTTTGCAACTTTACAGATCTTCTTTATGCACCAAGAGCTTGTAACACTCCAAAGAGAAAGGAAAAATTTTAATCGCATCATATGACCCCTTTAATGAGCCATTAAGACAAATGGCATAGTATTTTCATATGTGGATGAAATATGAAGATAACTGCAACTGGGAGCAAAAGAAGTAACACTGCCTCTTATTTGTAAGGGTTTATTTTTCCAAACAGATGATGGAAGAGCACAGTGAAAGAGAAGATGATGTGGAAAAAACACTGCAGCAGTTTGAGCCATGGTGACATTAATAATCCAGTCTCTTTTATTTCAGATGTCACTGATTTATGGGAGTCAACACCACATATGCCATGCTCCCAGAGGGGGCACATTGAAAATGTTATTGAAAATGCAAAATCTGATCTAGTTGGCTGTTCAAGAAAGCAAGAGCTGCTGACCAATTCCCTCTCAAAATGATGAGGCCAGCTTTCCCATTTCCAATCAAATAACAACATTTGCTTCGATAATAATGCCATAAATCACAACACAAAGACAACGAGGGGTTTGATAAACAACAGAAAAGGAAAAGTACCGATGGCATGTGGATGTTGTCGTTCTCACCTTCTTCAACAGAGCTAGAGATTATAAAACACATCCTAAAATAGACATCTTAGACACGGTTAAGCGATAGTGACAGTTCATGTTGTGTATCAGTAGCCCATTGGGCCTGGATGTGCTGGGACAAACACACTCTACTGAAACTGCTAGCGGCGGGCTATTAGCCTCTTCAGTTAATCAAACAATGGCTTCTACCAACTGAAATTTAGCGTTAAAACGAACATAAACAGCACCACTTACCTCTATACACGTCGGAAAACTATCCCTCTAGGACTTAAGCCCCTTTCCAGGGAACAATTTTCGTCGACAGAAGTAGAAAAGTATTGGGGAAGCAAATGAACGTCAGCGGAGGATTGTGTGAAACTGACAGTCACACAAACCCGAGAGGGAGGGAGAGAGAGAGGCCCGGCGCTTTAGCCGCCCCGCTAACTGACGGATATTTCGACGATTCCGCATTAAATATATGAGGATACGCACGCGAGTTACAATATCACACGTTAAACGTCACGGCGAGCTAAACATACGGAGAGGACATTTTATTTAACAGTCAAATGTGGCACGAATTCCTCCCCGTTTGCCCTCGGGTGCAAGTCCCCATTCGTCCATTAGAGCGCTGCTATGTGTGTATGTGTATGTGAACGGCGCTGCTGCTGCGCGCAAGCGAGCGTTTCGACATTTTACGACATTCTCCCATCCTTGACGACTCTCGAGGACCACAACATTACCTAAAGACTAGTTGAAATTTATATCGTGAATAACCCATGAATGATCATAATCGCTGACTACTGACTCTTGTGAATCTATATAGATTTGAATGCGATTTGTGAGTCTTGACTGGTGTACGTTACTGTGTTGTATTAGGTAGCTGGTCGCCTCATGCTCTCTAGTGGCAGAATGTGGCAGCACCACTGATCTATATATTCTCTATTATAAGATCAGTGGGCAGCACTCATGTACATATGATGCAGCTACATAAACTAAAGTTTTTAATAGTGTTATTGGTCCAATGATGAGGTGCCGATTTTTATTTATTTTTAAACCCTTAAACCATGGGGATAATTTATGTACGATTTTCTCAGTAATTTACTATTAGATTCCCCATACTTTACCATTAACTGTTATTATTCTGTATCTCAGTGTTTGCATTCTTTTGAATCCGCTCACCCAAGATTCGTTCAGTGCATAGAGGGTCAGTGTCTATTTCTGAAGGTTACGCCAGTAGGGGGCGTCAAGTGAACATTTTTGTGTGTTCTGAACCGAGTCAACATTTTGGAAGGAGTTGTGTACGTATCTATCAGAGAGAAGAAAAAAAAACTAATATCAGATTGTATAACCACTTTTGATATCATCATCATTATTATGATTATTATTACAAATACAGATTCAGTACATTTTTGCTGTACATAAACGCAAATTATTAGCTACTAAATTTCTACTGTAAGTTTTTTTTTGTTTTGTAGACTGTAATTATGTAATGTCTATAATGTCTATGATAAAACAACTCTCAATGTTTAACTCCATATAAATGTTTTTCTCTGGCTTTTGTTTTATTTATTATTTAACCAACAACCTTGTTAAATGCAGTTGTTCTATACTTGTTGGAATAATTAAATTCACAGCAGATTTCAATCTTATTATCTTAAAATTTCTGCATCCACAGATCTACAAGACAGAAATAATGTTAAAGCATCATATACGCTTTCCTTCATGATGCCAACTAGCCTGACTTTCAAATATTTTTAAATGCCGGTGTTCTGACGATGTGTGCACCTGGACACAGCAAGCCGACTTCAAAGAACTAGCAGCGAATACAGTGCCAACCACTAATATTGGCACCCTTGGTAAATATGAGCAAAGGCGGCTGTAAAAATAAATCTGCATCATTTATCTTTTTGATCTTTCATTCAAAAATTCTAACCTATCACTGAAGTTAAACAATGGAGTAAGTTCAGTGCCGTGTTTTACAGAGCTACACGTGAAACCGGAGATGAAGAATGACTGACAACAAGCGTCCCTTTCGTTTCAACCAATCGAAGTCGAGTATTCCCCCGAGGCAGTGGCCAATCAGAAAGAGCGGAGCGGTATTTGAATCACCAGCAGGCCCTTTGTATTTTACGGCTTGTTTTGAGTTGAGTTGAGTTGGACGGAGAACATTAAGCGAAGCTAAACGGTCCTTTTAAAACGTTTTTAAGGTTTTATTTAAGCAAGGGCCCTCACAATTAGCGTATTCGCCATGGAAATTCACGCTTTGGTGAGTATTTGATGCAGAAACATGTTTTTGATTTATCTGATAAAGTCTTGCTATGTGTAGCGTCAAAACCGCTTCAAGTTCGCTGGTTTAAATTGCTAAGAGTGGTGTTGAAATGGCTTTTAGGAAGATTCCTTCAGTTTTAATTTCCCTTTCCCGTACAGCGCAATGCAAACAACCCTGTTTTTATCGGTGGCAAAGGCGGCCCTGTAAACGGCGCAGCGAGGAGGGCCGTGTTTGGCGAACTGTCCAACTTTAACGTTACCCACAAACCAGTTCAGACTAAGGTGCGTGTCTTTATTTACCACCATGCAACGTGTGCATTTGAACAGCATGTTGTTACATATTACTCTTTCCTCTGCTTTTCAGAAGGTTCAGCCCGTGCTGCCTGTAAAACCAATTGCTGTTGCGCAACCCAAACGTTCCCATGTACAGCACGAGATCCCCCAGCCTGCCCCAGCGTTGCCCCCTGCTCAAGCTGATGTGAGCATGAAGGTAGAGGAGCTCTGTCAAGCCTTTTCTAACACTCTCTTTCCAGTCGAAGACATCGATGAAGGGGATGCTGACATGCCTCAGCTGTGTCCTGAATATGTGAAGGACATCTATGCGTATCTGCGAAGCCTTGAGGTACCTGACACTTTTAAAAATTTAACCTTTTTATTTAACCTTCATGCTTCCTACAGCTGCTGTCCTCTTGTTCCAGAGTAAGCAGTCTGTTCGTCCTCTTTACATGCGTGGCTATGATATCAATGGACGGATGCGCGCTCTCCTGGTTGACTGGCTGATTCAGGTGCACTCAAGATTTCAACTCCTGCAGGAAACCTTGTACATGACCGTAGCCATCCTTGATCGCTTTCTCCAGGTACAAGTTACCCAAAAGTTATTACAAAAGGAGTAGCTCTTTACAATAAGTTTCCATTTGTTAGTATTAGCTAACATGAACTAACAATAAAAAAAAAATTAGCTTCAATATTTACTGATACATTATTAAAGTCAAGTTGTACCTGATAACATTTAATGTACCCATTTTAACACACTTAAAATGAGCAGCTGCTTTTTCTTTTAAACAATTAAAAATGTAATGAATATACTAATAACTGATGTTTTGCTCATTGTTGGTTAATGCATTAACTAATGGGACCTTTATTGTAAAGTGTTGCCAGTCTTGAGGCAGTTACCTGCGTTCCTACACAGTATGTAAACTGCTATATGGATGAGGTCTTGGAATAATAATGCTTGAATTAATCCATAAGCGTTATAGTATTACAGATACTTTGTCTGGGTTTGATGTTAATTTGTATGAGGTACAGTACCAATCTACAGTATACCAGCATTTATTTGGCAACACAATAGCATGCATGTCTTAATGTAAAGGTTTTTATTTATTTTTAAATGGAAAGTGTAGGAGCCCTGAGTTAAACCATTTTTTCTTTCCCTTTCAGGTCCAGCCTGTGACCCGTAAGAAGCTTCAGCTAGTGGGTGTTACCGCAATGCTGATTGCTTGTAAATACGAGGAAATGTATGTGCCGATGGTTGGGGACTTTGCCTACATTGTGGACGATGCCTTCACAAAAGCTCAGATCCGAGAGATGGAGATTCTGTGTACGTATCTATCAGAGAGAAGAAAAAAAAACTAATATCAGATTGTATAACCACTTTTGATATCATCATCATTATTATGATTATTATTACAAATACAGATTCAGTACATTTTTGCTGTACATAAACGCAAATTATTAGCTACTAAATTTCTACTGTAAGTTTTTTTTTGTTTTGTAGACTGTAATTATGTAATGTCTATAATGTCTATGATAAAACAACTCTCAATGTTTAACTCCATATAAATGTTTTTCTCTGGCTTTTGTTTTATTTATTATTTAACCAACAACCTTGTTAAATGCAGTTGTTCTATACTTGTTGGAATAATTAAATTCACAGCAGATTTCAATCTTATTATCTTAAAATTTCTGCATCCACAGATCTACAAGACAGAAATAATGTTAAAGCATCATATACGCTTTCCTTCATGATGCCAACTAGCCTGACTTTCAAATATTTTTAAATGCCGGTGTTCTGACGATGTGTGCACCTGGACACAGCAAGCCGACTTCAAAGAACTAGCAGCGAATACAGTGCCCTCCACTAATATTGGCACCCTTGGTAAATATGAGCAAAGGCGGCTGTAAAAATAAATCTGCATCATTTATCTTTTTGATCTTTCATTCAAAAATTCTAACCTATCACTGAAGTTAAACAATGGAGTAAGTTCAGTGCCGTGTTTTACAGAGCTACACGTGAAACCGGAGATGAAGAATGACTGACAACAAGCGTCCCTTTCGTTTCAACCAATCGAAGTCGAGTATTCCCCCGAGGCAGTGGCCAATCAGAAAGAGCGGAGCGGTATTTGAATCACCAGCAGGCCCTTTGTATTTTACGGCTTGTTTTGAGTTGAGTTGAGTTGGACGGAGAACATTAAGCGAAGCTAAACGGTCCTTTTAAAACGTTTTTAAGGTTTTATTTAAGCAAGGGCCCTCACAATTAGCGTATTCGCCATGGAAATTCACGCTTTGGTGAGTATTTGATGCAGAAACATGTTTTTGATTTATCTGATAAAGTCTTGCTATGTGTAGCGTCAAAACCGCTTCAAGTTCGCTGGTTTAAATTGCTAAGAGTGGTGTTGAAATGGCTTTTAGGAAGATTCCTTCAGTTTTAATTTCCCTTTCCCGTACAGCGCAATGCAAACAACCCTGTTTTTATCGGTGGCAAAGGCGGCCCTGTAAACGGCGCAGCGAGGAGGGCCGTGTTTGGCGAACTGTCCAACTTTAACGTTACCCACAAACCAGTTCAGACTAAGGTGCGTGTCTTTATTTACCACCATGCAACGTGTGCATTTGAACAGCATGTTGTTACATATTACTCTTTCCTCTGCTTTTCAGAAGGTTCAGCCCGTGCTGCCTGTAAAACCAATTGCTGTTGTGCAACCCAAACGTTCCCATGTACAGCACGAGATCCCCCAGCCTGCCCCAGCGTTGCCCCCTGCTCAAGCTGATGTGAGCATGAAGGTAGAGGAGCTCTGTCAAGCCTTTTCTAACACTCTCTTTCCAGTCGAAGACATCGATGAAGGGGACGCTGACATGCCACAGCTGTGTCCTGAATATGTGAAGGACATCTATGCGTATCTGCGAAGCCTTGAGGTACTTTACACTTTTTAAAATGTAACATCTTTATTTGACCTTCATGCTTCCTACAGCTGCTGTCCTCTTGTTCCAGAGTAAGCAGTCTGTTCGTCCTCTTTACATGCGTGGCTATGATATCAATGGACGGATGCGCGCTCTCCTGGTTGACTGGCTGATTCAGGTGCACTCAAGATTTCAACTCCTGCAGGAAACCTTGTACATGACCGTAGCCATCCTTGATCGCTTTCTCCAGGTACAAGTTACCCAAAAGTTATTACAAAAGGAGTAGCTCTTTACAATAAGTTTCCATTTGTTAGTATTAGCTAACATGAACTAACAATAAAAAAAAAATTAGCTTCAATATTTACTGATACATTATTAAAGTCAAGTTGTACCTGATAACATTTAATGTACCCATTTTAACACACTTAAAATGAGCAGCTGCTTTTTCTTTTAAACAATTAAAAATGTAATGAATATACTAATAACTGATGTTTTGCTCATTGTTGGTTAATGCATTAACTAATGGGACCTTTATTGTAAAGTGTTGCCAGTCTTGAGGCAGTTACCTGCGTTCCTACACAGTATGTAAACTGCTATATGGATGAGGTCTTGGAATAATAATGCTTGAATTAATCCATAAGCGTTATAGTATTACAGATACTTTGTCTGGGTTTGATGTTAATTTGTATGAGGTACAGTACCAATCTACAGTATACCAGCATTTATTTGGCAACACAATAGCATGCATGTCTTAATGTAAAGGTTTTTATTTATTTTTAAATGGAAAGTGTAGGAGCCCTGAGTTAAACCATTTTTTCTTTCCCTTTCAGGTCCAGCCTGTGACCCGTAAGAAGCTTCAGCTAGTGGGTGTTACCGCAATGCTGATTGCTTGTAAATACGAGGAAATGTATGTGCCGATGGTTGGGGACTTTGCCTACATTGTGGACGATGCCTTCACAAAAGCCCAGATCCGAGAGATGGAGATTCTGATTCTCAGTGAGCTGCACTTTAAACTCGGACGTCCTCTGCCCCTGCACTTTCTGCGGAGGGCTTCAAAGGCTGGGAATGTAAGTTCAGGTTTTATGATCCCTGATTTGGTTTGGCAGATTTGTTAGAGCTTCAGATGTTGAGACATCTTTGCCTTTTTACGTCTACTTTTTAGGCGGATGCTGAGAAGCATACACTGGCAAAATATTTCCTTGAACTGACACTACTTGACTATGACATGGTCCACTTTAACCCTTCTGAGACTGCAGCTGCTGCTCTGTGCCTCTCTCAGCTTGTGCTTGATGGCCAAAAATGGGTAATTTTTTCTTTTTGTTGTAATGTCTTCTATACCCTCCCCCATCAATTTGTCTCTTTGTTCCTGTTCCAGTCGCCAACCCAGCAACACTACTCTACCTATGATGAGGCCCACCTGAAGCCTATCATGCAGCATATTGCCAAAAATGTGGTTATGGTCAATGAAGGGCTCACAAAGCATGTGGTATGCACTTTATTAGTCACTTGTGCATGGGGGTATGGTTCTACTGAATGCTCTGATGTTGTCCTTCTCTTACAGACAGTGAGAAAGAAATACTCCAGCAGTAGGCTCATGAAGATCAGCCTTCTTCCCCAGTTGAAGTCGTCACTTGTGACGGATCTGGCTGCTCCTCTGCTGTCCAGATCTTGAGAATTTTTATGTGGGAATGGACACTAAAACCTGCACTTTATTTTGTTTCAGCCATTTTGGGAGATGGACTGCTGCTTTTTAAACGAATGTACATATTCTTGGATCGTCTGTATAAATAAACATTTGTTTCTACTTTTTATAAAGATTAAATTTTTAAACTGAGGATTTAAATTGGCTTTTACTGTTATAAACTTGCTGGAGCTGTGTTTTTGCTTTACTACTTATTGGGCAAATTGAAGCTGGAATCCATTAAAATCCAAAGATTTAATACCACTTTCTGGCTTGTGTGTTGATACTGACAGTGACGTGTTAGTCTTGTTGAACTAAAGACCCAAAGTCTTTTCACCTGCTGTCAATATTGCACGTGTGCTTTTAATAACCTTCAGTTTAATTCCAAAATGAAGAAAAGGACAAGCTTTCAATGCATTGGGTCTCATTCACTAATTATTGAAATATGAGTTAAGGCGACGTATCTGTAACATTTCATATTGACACATTTATGAGGCCACAATTGTGACTAAAAGGAAATGTGAATTTTAGCATGTATATGGTTTCAATTATTCCTACATTTTATATCAATTTTAGTATGAAAGTTATTGAATCATTTGTGACAATGTTAATTTCACATACAAATTTTTCTATGCATGGTTAGTGAACAAGACTGATTTTCTATTGTCCAGTGGGCATCTGTTAAATCAGTAATTATACTTCTTAAACAGTTCATCAACCTCACCTGCATTCTAAAATGGTCTGAGATTCAGCTGTAAAATGCCAGCAATATCTATGTAAACTTTACAGCGAACGTATTCACAAAAAATTAAGTCATCTTAACTGCAGTTTTCTAACTTTCAGTTACTAATATGTATTTCCAAAATACTTAAAAGGAATGTTCTTAAAAGTCACCATTAATAACTTCAAGTTAGGATAACCTCTAACTTTTAAGTACCCAAATTAAGAGGTTTAACTAATTTATTGGGTGTCCCCCAAATAAAGTTCCAGATGGAAGTAACAATGATCGTCTAATCCAGTTCACTTTAAACGTATCATAAAATGAAATGAGGGTAAAATATGCCAGCATAAAAGTTTGAATTTTGTATTAGACAAGGCAACCTCATCAGTAGAATAGTATACAATCAGACACCACCTGTCACTTTATTCTTACGAATAAAAAAATATGTTCTTAAGTATATGGGAACTTCCTAACATTTTTTTCAAGAATTGCACTTAAGAACATTATGAATTGATCTTGAGAACCACCTTAAGAAGATTTTCATGGATCCAGCCTCTGATTCTTCACTGACTAGCACCTTGGCGAATGTTGGTGTGGATGATCTGACCACTACATTTGTATGATGTCATACTGATAAAACGTTTCATAACTATACAGTAATAATGTGCTGATTATGTCTTTGATGCATGGAAATACCACTGTAGTTTAAATTTAGACCGTTTTAACTGTTTGCATCTTTTGCACAATGACACATTCGGCATTGTTCTGAGATGATGACCTTCAAAAGCATACAAACCATGGTTTTCTAGAGCCATAGTGCATTTTATACATTAGGGTTTCTCTTAACAAGATGAAAGGGAATAACATGTAAAATGGTCCTTAGCAGCAAAACATTCCCCACTAAAACCATTGATTTAGACATGACTTCAAGAAATTGGAGAAAAAAATTAAAATAAAATAAAAAAATGATGAACAGCAGGTGACTCTAAAAGGCCTGTTCCCACATAAAATGGCTACTTCATCTCTTCAAGTGAATTAAGATCACCTTAAATATCAATGACAGATGAACAAACCACATCAGAAATAAACTGCAGAATGCTATAATATAAATACAATAAATAGTTTTGATCAGTGCTCACAGGGACAGTTCAGTATTCAGTGCCCTGGAGAAGTTTCGTGTCCGACCGACCGGCGTCTGCCCACATGGCCTCAAGTGGCACCAGAACACAGAGCTTATGAGGAGTTTGACCACAGCCACGGCACACCTCGCTCCTTCCTTCATTATCTCAGTTTCCCCTCCTTTTTTGTCCTTCTTCATCTAACAAGTCCGCTGAGGTTCAAGTCTGGTCCCCTCATTAACGGCAGAAGAGCTTAGATCTTAGTCACGTAGTTGTTTGGGAAAAGGCCTTGTTTACCTCTCAGCCTCCCTGTCCACCATCCAGAGGCATCTAGACATAAACAAATAATGGGCAGATATCATAATTACTACGTTCTGCCACAATAAAAACATTTGTATTACGTAAAACAAGCATTTTGTACCCTCTCACCTTCCTTAATGATGTCAATGATGTCATCTGCGTTGAAACTGAGCTCATCTGTGTCTTGGGCATCGTAGGCATAAAGAGCTTTACACTGAGGCACCTGGGGCTTCGGCTTGGGGGCTGGTTTGGGACGGCCACCTCCTGGAGTGGGCCTGTTTGTGGACTGTCTGTGGGCCCTAGGAGAAAAGCACAGAG